CCCATGTGTACTCCAGACTTTGTTTTATATCTGTGCCAAATTTCAATAAGATATGTTGAACCGTTGCAGAATGATCGAGTAAACATTAAAAAACTAAATTAATGAATCCCACGGGAACCGTAACTATTACAGGGCTAAAAAGTAGCCTATGTGTTCTTCCAGACTATGCTCTAAACCTGTGGCAATGGATGGAGATCCGTTCAGCCGTTTAAGCTACAAACGCTAACAAACATCCATCCATCCATCCATCTAAACTTTCGCATTTATAATATTAGTAAGAAGTAAGAAGTAAGATGTATTGTATCATACAACAAACAAACCTAGGAATAATTATCAAGTGCGTATTAAACACGTATGTTATCAGTATTGCGTGTATTGCGTGAAGACTCTTAAAATGTCAAACACAAAGGGCGGAAGATAATACCAGATCGTCACAGTCACAGCAGTCATCAGTCGGATGACTTCGAAGTCGTCGTGTAACAAAGGCCATTATCTATGCCACTGTACCACGCTAGTGCATACAGCCCATTGATAGAAAACTGGAGCATTCTAAGACAATCGGAAAGAAAATATTTGGTACTACGACAATATTTTGTATAGAAATGGCAAATGATCACAATATTTTGCACAAGATTGCAATAAAGGATAAATTTATTTCTTGCTTTATAATTTTAAACATAATTTTCTTTAAATTATAATAAAGTTGAGTAATTTTTTACAAATAAACCGCAAAAAACATGTCTATAGGGACGTCCACAGATGGGTCCGTTTTGCATAACAGCGGCCTGTGGACGATTTATATCACGAGGACCACTCGTAAATCTACGCCACTCGACACGGTCCGATCACAATTTACGACATGTCCATGTCATCGAAGCTGGGTTCTAGAAATATACGCCCTAATTGAAAAACATTTGTATAAAATACCAAGTCATCCTAACAAAAAATTCTTAATCTTCAGCAACATTTCTTATATAAAATGCCAGCTCGCTCATCTGTTCAGCTTTCTTCCATTATTCCAACAATAACTCAACAAAACACCAGTATCGTTCCATTGAGCTGGAGCGAGGAATACGGAAAAGTTTGAAACCGTCTCCTTATAGTTAAAGTTTTAAAGCCTAGGCATTACGTCATATCTGCTACTCGAAAGCTGTACAAACTTTCAGCTGATCCAGACATTTAAAAACTAGACATTTATACAATGATCTAGTACTTTCGTAATGTATATCGTGTAAGATAAGCGTATACGTGTAATATGGAAATATGTAAGCGCCTGTCTAAACAAAATAGTCATCTTCAACCGACTCCACTAAGATCTCGAGTTTATCTTTTAAAACATTTGGATTGAATTATCTTAATATTTTTTCATATAGTAAATTAAACAGTAGTTTTCTATTAAAACTATTTTCAATAGCCGTAGTTTCATACAATAGAAGTGCAAGTCTCAAGCTCGACGTAACCTCATCCATTGTACACATGTCCCGACCACAAGCAGCTTCAGTGGCAAGATTAATTGCAAGCCACGTTCATAAATTGGGCACGGCGTATCTCCATGGCTGTACGTCAGTTAATGTAATCTAGAAGAGGACATACACAGGTAGTAAATTATGATTGTATTTTGTATGTTCTGCATTAAATTTCAGTATCACCTTGATACGTGTGATTTTTTTTACGGAAACTAATAAAATCAGTTTCACACTGATAATTTTGCCGCACATAAATATGCAGGCGCCACATAGTTAATAAGTGTTACTCTGTCGCTATTGTAACTAAATCTTACTTTTCGATCTTACTAAATGCCTAAAATTATAAATAACAATTTTATAAGTCAAGAAAAATTAAAGTCGAACTTGTTTTGTTGGCATTTATCATTATTTAAAAAAGATAATTAACAAACAACCTTCAAAAATTATTTGTATTGCAAACTTTATATTTAGGTAAGACAAACAGAAGTGAAACAATCGCGCGACGCTAAACCCAAACAAGCAAACAACTTAATCCATTAATCATTGGAACATTTGGTCGCGGTACCACTTTATTGCTAATTGAATTATTACTAATACACGCAAATATAATTTAGTTACCTATTCATTAAAAAAAGCTGTAAAAACTACAATGCATAATTACAATGCTTGTCAGATAATCAGGTTAAAAATGAGATTTATAAACAGAATTAAGTAAAAAACATAAAAAAATAGCAAACTTGTAATTGTAAAACTTTGTGTTTCTGATATGACAGGCTATAAAAAGTTGTACGAACGTCGCGCGGAAGTTCACGCTTGCATCCGCCGGCCATATCTATTCATGAAAACCTTCAGAACGATCTGACACCAGCCAATATGCAATGAGTTATAGTTTGTACCTTGTTATAACCTCTTACCTAAGCGTAAAATTAATTAATAACCAGTCTTAGAAACTTTTAAGTTATGTTCTACACTCCACTCCACTACGACACTAGTACACTCTATATAATATTGTAACACCGCTCCCGCGGACAAACTAATCATATAGTCTTTGCGGGGCCATATTTGTAAATACGTTTAATTTTTGTGTCTGTAAAATTTTCAATAAAGTTAATATTAAGTGTTAAGATTGATTGTGGATGGCTACAAAGGTAGAGGAAGACCGAAGAAAGTATGGATGGATTGTGTGAAAGAGGATAAGCTTAAGAAAGGAGTGGATTTAGATATGACGGCTGATAGAGATGTATGGAAGAGCAGCACATACTGTGCCGACCCTCCGTAAGGGATAAGGGCAAGTGGATGATGTAAAATTATCAATAAAATAAATTAAAACCGGTAAACGGTAGTTTTGACATTTGCAATTGAGAATTTGACAAATGGATACAATAAAATAAAGTTTTTACAATTTCGTGCGGTTGAAGCCGCACGGGAACAGCTAGTTTCCTTATAAAGTTGAGAAAACGGTATATGTAATAACTAACTACTTTGTTATAACATTGATCGATTAAAAAGTTTATCTTAAAGTAAGACGATCCCATCGTTTAATTTCAAAGATTATTTCAACACATTACAGTATCCACTACTATAAGATCTGTCTTTAACAAGAATCTTTTTTGATTTAAACCTACGTTCAAGCGAGATTAGAACTTATTACCACTACATAGATATCATATTAATTAAGTTTCATGGCAGTGCAGAATTTAAGACTTTAGGTCAAGTTAAGTTGGCAAGTAGCAAGATGGATGATGCGATCTGAGCGTGTCTTTAAAGGACGTAATTAACTTAAGGGTGTTCTCTATAAGAGCGTGCGCAAGCCTTTGAGTAAACTCTCGCACAACATTTTAGTCTCGCTTTGATGCTAAGAACTTATATGGAGGTGCACACACTAGTCGATTTTTAGTTGTGCAACTAAACAGTTGAATTGGCTGCGAAACAATCGACAATGGTAGTGGTAGTGCCCAATTTAACATCTTAGCACTGCAGGGCCGGCACGCCCGATGTAATACCACGACCACACAGAAAACAGGCGTAAAATGGAAGCAATTCCGTGTTTCGTCTGATGAGTGTGGTGCCGGAGGCCTAATTTAAATCTCCTTCTCTTTACCACCCTTTTCTTATAAGGAGAGGATGGGAAAGGGAAGTGAATTTGACATAGGAGGAGATGAATAGGAAGCGGAAATATCCTCGTTATGTGCTTCTCCTCCTCTGTCTAATAACGGTAGGCAACGCATCTGCAATTGCGGATGTCTATGGGCAGCGGTCACTTCGCCATTTTGGCGGATTTAGGTGGCCGCTTGCTCGTTTGCCACCTTATGCTATAAAAAAAAACAATCGCACAACAGTTGTGCGATAGTTTCAAAGGTTGCCCGCGGTTACTCGTATCCGTTATCTCTATGGATATTTTCAGTACGAGTGCTTCAGCTGTAATCGCACGGTAACAATATTTTGAAATATCAATAAATAATAATTCTTTTGTAATCGTTATTTAATTACTCCTAATCTATTATTGTAACGCAATAAATTGGGATTAATCGTCTAATAAATTTGAATTATCACTTTAATCGCATCTGGAGATAAAGATACGGTATTTATAACTTTAGTAAACGCCTATAAGTAACTAAGGTCGTTTATCCAATTTTAAATTTTATTGTCTAAAGCATTTTATTCGGTAAGATTCTTAAAAAAACAATTTGCCATTTCCATGCCTCAAAAATGACCGATAACTGAATAATCTACTATGAAATCAAGTTACACGCTTCGTTAAAAAGTTGATAAAGCTATTTTTTAGTGTGGAATAAAAAGTAAAAACATTAAAAAGTATGAAAGTAATAACTAAGATAAGGACCAAGTTACAGACTAGAGCAGCGATTCCTAACGGGACAAAATAAAGCCTTCACAAGTCGAAAAAGTATATTAGGTAGGACAGTACTGGCGTTGGAATATCGGGCAACCGCCCAGGGCGCCCCTGGTCTGCAAATTACTTTCACACAACCCTAACGCCCCTCCAGTCACGTTAATAATGGGCTACAATTCTTCCATACATCATTTTCATGTAAGTCTTATAGTTTAGGCTACGTAAGCAAAAAAAGCAAAACAGACCCGAAATTTCGTCGCGCTATTTTGAGCTAAACTATTTAACTACGTCGTAGTCTTAGACTCCAAAAATCAATCCAAAAAATGGGACCCACCTCCAAGCATTACCTTTCGGATAAAAAAAAGAATGATCAAAATCGGTCCACTAGCGGCGGAGTTATGCCGTAACACACATAAAAAAAACATACAGACGAATTGAGTACCTCCTTCTTTTGGGAAGTCGGTCAAAAAGAGGGCGCCATAGTATTGCCCATAGCGCTAGTAAAAGTAAACCAGCATTGACTAGGGATTTACCACAACCCAAAAATGTTAAGACAATAAAGTGAAGAAATATTTGAACTCTAGTTCAAACAGTACTTTGCCTTGACGTTGAAGATAGCATTTGTAAAGGAATTCAAGCAAGCAATTTACTGCCTTTGTGTTAATAGCAAAACAATATCCTACCGTTTTATCGAGTAACCAGCTGCCAGGGAATATAAGTGGCACGTATGTTATCATGTAGATCATCGAGGTCCATGACACGAGTGTACTCGGCACATTGTAATACTTCACAATTACGTCTTGAATTATAGTATACTGCATCCATTGCATAGAATTAGATGAAGAGTACAACACGAATAAGCCTAACATTAGCCATCTTGTTCTATACACATTATATTTGACTATACTGTCTGCGGCGACGTATTCCATTACACCTTCCATCTTCCTTGGACTGGTGTACGTCGACCAAGCTGGTTCTTCATTGGCAGTGTTCACATTTTTATCTTTTACGACAGACATTTTATTTCACAGCACAGTCTCACGTCCACCAATATCGCGCACTATATAAAGAACGTTCTAATGCATATTGATAATTTACTCGCATTTTATCAATCGTCCGATCGAATAGATCCGTGAATCCTTTTATCTTTATAAAAGTTATTGAGCTGTTATCGAGTTAATCAACGTCTGAGAATCCGCTAAATTGACGTTATTTTAAAATGTAACTTATAAGTTTCGATTTCACAATAAATTAAGTAAACATGTTGACATCTTGTTTATTACTGCGTTTCTATGACAACCACATCTTGAATGTCATCCCAGTGTGGAGATGTCAGTATAGCGAACTATAGATTTTTCTGTGGCTACATTTTAGATCTATAGATTTTAGCTATCTAAACTAAGACTTCAATTTACAACTAACTAGAACTAAAGGCATTGTTATTAGCCAACAACATTAAAAAGTTAACATTTTAGATAAGAAAGCAAATGATTAAATTTTTAACATCACGATAATAACACTGTATATTATAATCTTTCAGAAAAGAACGGGAAGAAAACAGAAGACCTGTCACCGAAAACAATAAAATTTTCTCGGTTAGCGGCTTACGTTTTACAAAGCCTTTACCTAAAACCTGTCTCTTTGTTTGTTTGTATTGCTTTGACGTACTTAATGCCGTGAATGAATGGACATTAAGCCGCAGTGATTTTGCAAATGGAACCAAAACTTTCCTAATGGATGCTGCGGCCGGGGATGTTGAAAATTCAATCATTTGTTTGCTGGTATTGGAATATTTAGTTGATTTGGTTTTGTTATTTGATAAATGATTTCACTTTTCTTCATAAATACTTAATACTTAACCATTTCAATATTTCAACTAGCTAAATAGTATATGTATATTAGATTAAAAAAAAAACATCGACAAATGATAATTAAATTAAGAAATATCGATATCTGTGCTGTCTAAAAATTGTTACAATTAAAAAAATAATAAAAAAAACTCACCGTTTTATCCAGTAGCCAGCTGGCGGGGAATATGAGAGGCACGTACGTGATCATATACACCATAGAAGTCCATGACACCACAGTACTCGGCACATCATAGTATTTCACCACTATATCCTGAATTATTGTATATTGTGTCCATTGTAGCGAGTTTGACGCAGAGTATATCACAAACA